TACTTCATTTTTAAGGATAAATTTGAAGGTTTTGTTGAAAAAAAAAAAAAGCTGACATCTCAGCTATGTCACCATGTTGACATATAGCCACTCTTCTCCTCATCGTTGGGCTCGGTGGGCCTTCATTGTTATTCTTTAGGGAGCAAAATAAATGTAGGCCTACTATTTTTTGGTAAAAGTGGGCCTGCTAATTTATTTCTTAGATTAAGGGTAAGTTTGGGTAAGTTTGTTTTGAAGGAAGCATGGCCTTCACCTCCTCTGAGTCTCTAACGTCTTTCTATTTCCCTCCCTTCTTCTCATGTGAATAATTTAAAAGAATTAAAGAAATTAGAAGCAAAAACAAATCAAAGGTCTCCTCTCTCTCTCTCTCTCCATTCCCTTTAATTTTTTTTATAATTAAATAATAAAGTTATCATCTTTCTCGTCCCCTCAAATCAAATATAACCAAAGTTTTATCCAAGCATCGACACTTCAATTTGTGTCAATTTTTAGCAATTTAGCATCCGTTGCAATCAATAATCTAGTACTGGGAACTATAGCTATGATAAGAACTGGTTCTGCACAAGAAAAGAGAATTTTTAAACCTTTTTAGTTCTAATAGTATGTTTGGATTGTGGAAAATAAATGAGAGAAGAGGAAAGGAAAAAAGTTTCCTTTATTTAATTGTCAATAAAAATTAGAGGGGAAGAGAGGGGGAAATTTTTTTTTTCTTTATTTTTTTTAAATTTATTTATTTATCCGAATGAGAAAAAGGAAAGAAAAGGGAGGAAAGGGAAATGAAGGGGAATGTAAGAATGAAATCCCCTCCCCTCTATTATTCTCAATCTAAACGTTTAGAATACATATATTTATTTGATGTAATCTAATTGTTAAGGATAGTTATGCCACACAACAAATTATTGGGCCCATATAAAATCTTAAATGTTGTTTTTTTTAAATATTGATTTTGTTTAATTTGACAATTAAAAATAATTAATAATTATAATTATTAATTAATCAATAATAAAATAATTGATATTTATTACTAAACAAATTAAAATTA